CCTACCCGAGCAGCAAGTCAGCAAGCCCCCGTGCTGCCAACACACGATCCAAAGCATCAGTCTGTTCAAACCCTGTAATGACAGCAAACCCCTTCCAGGAGAAAAAACCACCACACTCCCAACCAGCCTCTTCTCATCCACCTTTATTTCTGGTTCAGCTTGCGCTGTCACAGGAAGGGGTCGGGCAGATTCCTCCCTGCACCTGCGGAGTTTGCGATTCTGCTGTCATTGCTCTCTGTGACGGTGCGGGGTTGCTGGAGGGGGGAACCGACTGCGGTCCCTGCAGCCCTCTGCTCTGTGGGTGCTGCCCAGTAAGGACAGTTTCACCAGCTTACTGGGCATGGGGAAAGGGGTTATAGAAAACATCATGGGATTTCCACAGACCTAAGCTCTAAGACTCCTCACTCCAGCGTGGGAGCTGATTTTGCCTTCATGGATATTGTCTGAATGTATACAAATATCACTGGGAGCACAATTTGGTTTCACAGTATAAAAATCCGATTTGCTGCTAGGATGCAACGGCTCATGCTCTTCCCCTGGTGCTCCACAGCCCAAGAGTGCCAGCAGCATCTGACAAACATTGGCAATGCCTTTTTCTGCCAGCTAGAAAATTCTGGTAATGAGACACCGATCAGGACATATTTCTAATGTTGCGCTTCTGTGTTGAGAGTAGATACAGGAGGGATTTGCTGCTATTTTCCAATCCCTGGGCTGCAGGATTCCCAGAAAACAGATTCCCTGGGGAAACCGGTGGAAAGAAAGCTCGTGGCCTTCAGGGGAGGACCACGAGGGCTTTTACCCTCAGGACCTGCAGAGCTAGTCTTGGATGGGGTTGCTGTTCCTGGGAAGCGAGGCCCTTGCTTAGGGGGGCTGCTGATCCGTCTGCCTTTACATCTGCAAGTGAACAAGCATCGGAGAAAAGAGGGAGATTCGGGATTAGCCAAGGGGAAAGATTACTGCTGAGAGGACAAGACTGGGCTGTGAACTGGCAAGGTGCTCGGAAAACCTCCTGATGGGAACTGTAAGCAATGTTAGGTAGGTGTGAGGGAGTCAGGCCAGATTTACAACACATAGAGCTCTCCAGCCGAGCCCCCCTTGATGCATGGAGGTGATAAAGCTCTGCAGTTTCCAAACTGTGACCTGGACACCTCCAGTGCTTCCAGATCATCCACATGTCCCAGCCAGATCTGTGCCCAGCTGAGCTGTACGCTCCTCACGCCTGTCCTGGGGCAGCTTTCCCTGGGTGCTGAGGAGGGGTGCAGAGCATCGCTGCCCTTCGCGCCGGTGCAGCTCCTGCATCCGCAGCGGCTGAGGGGCCAGTGTGCCCACCCTGCCAGAAGGGCATGGGCCAGACCCTCTGCTAGTGCCAGCTGGGGCAGCTCCCCTGATTGCAATTAAAAACCCAGCAATTAACTGCAGAGAAAGAGCTTAACTTCTTTGCTCAAAGGAGGAGTTTGATTCCTCTCGTTAATACACCCAGGTGCCTGCCCTGATCTTCCCATTTGGGGCCTCTGCAAAGTCCTGACTCCCATTGCAGGCCAGATGACTAATGCTCTGCTTTTCCTTCATATGCACTTAATTAAGGCATTAGTGAAGGGAGGCATCCCCTTTCCCTCACCTTGACCCCCTGTTAAGGAGCCTGCTGTTATTTTAGGGGAAAGGTGATATTCTTGAGACTTTATAGCACTCCCTTGGTGCCCAGGTCCCCTCCCCCTCTCATGCACAGCACATGGGAGCAGCAGAGAGGGAATGGCTCAGCCCCACATCTTCCCTGCGAGTCTCCTGAGACAGCCCTAAGCTCCTGGCAGAGGTAGGAGACCACAGCGCATGACGTGACCGCCGCGGCAGCTGCCCAGGGGTGTGCTGGTGCCTGGGTGCAGCTCTGGGCATGTTTGCACAAGAGCAACCAGGAATCACTCAGCTGAACTGGTGAAACTGGTGTTGGTGGGGCAGCTCTTTCCTATGCTGAGATTCCTCTGTCTGCTGTTTGAAAATGATTTCATTTTGGTGGCGAGGTTTAGCGCCTGAGCAGCACGGCCGGGTGATGCAGGAGCAGCCCCCCAGTGAGCCCTCCTTCGAGCTAAACTGGGGGTGGCAAGGAGGAGCAGCTGCTCTCGGGGTCATCACATGAGCAATCTGCAAAGTCATAGCGATGTGTGTGGTTTAAATGGGCCGGGAAGGGGCTGGGAAAGACTGGCAGCAAGGGCAGAAATCTCTCCCTGCCAGCTGGCGTGCGTGGTGATGCAGCTTGTTATTTAGCAGGGTGCCTGATATAGCAAAGATCACCCCAGGGAGATGTAGCTCTGGGGGAATGGTGCTTCAGCAGCTGATGTCCACTCTGCCCTCTGATCACCCCCAGAGTGAGTCTGTCCTCCCTTCCAAAGGCTGCCATTTGCCCATCCTCTCTGTCAGGGGTTGGGATGGAGCCATGACATTCAGAGGCAAAACGCAGCAAGAGAAGACAAAGCAGTAAACAAAATAAACTTCAGCAACATTTACCTGTTGTGGTTCTTCCTCAGACAAAGTGCTCAGCTCTGAGGAAGACTATGGTTGCTGGAACATGGGCAGGGAGGATTGGGGACCCAGCACATCTCCCCTGAAGGCAGGGCAGCAGCTTGCCCAAGACAGCAGGCAGCAAAAAGGAGATGCCCCTCAGCCTGCGAGCTCAGGCAAGCCCTGGCCCCTCCATCCCCAGTGTGGTCGGGGCCGAGGCGTGCGGATGTCCCCGTCCCCAGTGAGCTGCAGACTTACTTCGGTGATGGCTGCGGGGGGCTGCCTGCGCCGGGCAGGGTGGTGGCTCCTGGTGCTCCCGGCTGGGCAGGGGCCCCATCTTCCTGGCCACATAGCGGCAGGCTGGCGGGAAAGGGGAGACCCGTCTGCTCGCTGCAGCCATGTGAAACACAAAAAACTCTCCCCAGAATGCCCAGAGAAGGATGTCGTGGTGGGATGGGGATCCTTGCAGAGCAGGATCGGCAGGGGGTTGTGCTGGACCGGTGGCAGTTCATGGCCAAAAGTAACAGAGGAAACGGAGGGGACTGGATTTAAGGGGCTAAAAGGGAATTACTGTTTCTGGCATCCTGGCTGTGTCTCAAACCACTCCAGTGCCAGCCTTTCTCCCCCGATAAGCCGAGGCCATAAAATATGCACAGGGTTTACCATGCAGAAATCCCTCTAAGCTCTCTTGCCTCAAATGAGGTGTTTCCTTACCGTTGATGATTACTCAAACCATTTTCTCCCCGGCTCAGCAAAGCTGTCCTTTCCAGCCAGCGTGTCTCTTCCTCTCTCCCCTCTCACAGTCAGCTCTTCAGTGGTTTTATTTCTTTACAGCCTGGCTTCCTCCTTCCCTCCCTCCCACGGGGATGTTGCTCCAGTAGCACCCGGTCATGCGCGGGGAGGCAGGCTGAGCTCGGCTCGGCCTCCGGGCTGGGCTGCGACATGCCGGGCGTGGGATCCCGTCACCTCCCGGGAAGGAGAAAGCATTCTGAGCATTGGATTTGGGCAGCGGCACTGAGGTTTGAGCC